TTAGGTAGATAAATAGGTTATTGGAGTAGAGACTAAAAATAGATCCAGAGTCCACTGGTTTTCAACAAAGATGCTGAGGTCATTCAATAGGGGATGCTATGGCTTGTGTCTGGATGTCCCCCCAAAGCTTCATACAGTCATGGCGGGGAGGGGTGAGCTTTCTGAAGGTGGCTGAATCTAGAGTTTGTGATTGGCTTATCATCGTGTGCTGGAATCCGAGGGATGAGGGCTACACCCACCTTAGTGCAGGTAGCCTGCATACGGTCTAAGGGAAGAAAAGAGGCTTGCTCCTCCCTTTTCTGTTCTTGCTGCTTTTGCTGTCTTCCACCGCCATGAATTGTTGCCCTCTGCCCCACCAACGTGCTTTAGAGCCAACTGATTATGGACTGAAACCTCCACAAACTGTAAGCGAAAGAAACCTCTCTTTCCTTACCTTTGGGTAAGGAAAATACCTTTGTTGGGTATTTTGTGTCTGCAATGAAAGAAAAGCAACCAAAAGATATTTTTCCATTGATTAATAAAAAAGTTAACTCCAATGCATCACGGACATTATAAAATGTCTAGAAGAGAACACAAAAGAAAAATGATTGTAAGCTTGGGCCAGACAGATTTCTTAGATATGGCACCAAAAGCACAATCTATAAAAGTAATGATAAATTTAACTTCTTCAAAATTAAAAAATTGCAGAAAGACACTGAAAGGAGAATTTAAAAAAAACGTATCACAGCTTGGGAGAAAAAACTCCAAAGATGACTTCTATCTAGAATACATGAAGAACTCAGAAAATTCTGGTTTTGTGGGAAATAAAGTCATAGATTCTACAGACTGCTGGATTACTATGCTATTGAGCTGCCCAGGTTTCACGTATGAAAGCTAAGAAATTGCTTGACAAAGAATGAGTCATAATGATTGGATCTAGGGTATCTGAGAAAATTCGAAAGACTTCAGTGCTACAGAATCTCTGGGATCCTTCTCAATTATTACCATTGTACTTGTCTGATCAAATTGTGGCTCCTGTTAGAAACATACTAATAAATAGGTGCTAATAAAACACACTAATAAACCTAGAAACGTGGCTTGCATTAAGGAGCCTCACTGATTGTCTCTGTGTGTGTAAGAATCACACCCAGGGATGTTACATCACTGAGTTACATTCCCTGTATCTCACTGTGGCTTCCTTAGCAATCAAAGTCAGAACTCAACATGCAGCAGGGATAGGTGATGGAAAGGAAGGCACAGTGTGACATTTCTAGGAAAAACCTCAGAAATTCCTTAAAATAGAACCATTTTTTCTAGAGGATGGCTTTTTTTTTTTTTTTGAGTAGGGAGCCAGGGTGGATGAAAATGCACTTTGGGATATGACTCAACCATGCTATGGAACGACCCTAGCTTGAAAACCCAGCCTGTTGTGATCCCAAGAGCTTGCTGGTCTGGCTAACATAATCCAGACCCAACTGTGATAAAAGAGAAAAAAGAAAAAGAATCAAAGGCCTGCTACTCAAAGGAAGGAGTCCAAAGTCTTCAGGAGACAGGCAGGGGTGCGGCTCCCTCCTGTGCGTTCTTTGAGTATGTGCCAAGCTATCTATCTGGCTATGAGCAACACATACACACTAAGCAGTAAGGTCTTCAGGAGGCACCTAGCAACTTCTCTCAAGTTAAATATGAAAGCTGCTGGGTGAGGCTGTTGTTCAAAAACCACCTTGACCTTGGTCGCAATGGGAGAAGGGCCAAGTGGCCGATCCTGGGTAATGGTGGTCAGCCCGCAGGACTCACTTGGGCAGACCTGTAATCAGATCTCCAAGGAGGGTGAGCATCAGAGAATGCTGTGGATGCTCCAGCCGGTACATCACCAGGCAGACTACTCCGGGGTTGCTTATGCCTGACAACCGAAAATTCTCAGATATGGAAAACCAGAAACGTGACTTGCATTAAAGGAGTCTTTTCCTTCCTTCCTTCCTTCCCCCTTTCTCCCCATTTCCTTTTACATAAGAATCAAGCCCAGGGATGCTGCATCACTGGGTTCCAACCCCAGCCCCTTCTATTTTTTTGAGACAAGGTCTTGCCAAGTTGCCCACACTGACCTCAAATTTACAAAACTTGTGCCTCAGCCTCCTGAGAAGCTGAGACTCCCTGTGTGTGTCAAACGCCTGGCAGCAGTCAACTTTTTATCCTCACCAGAGCCAGTTCTCAGACCAGACTCTGCAGAGAGACAGGATGTCTGGGTACCACTGCACCCATCGACCACACCTGCCACGGAAACTTCTCTCCCAGAAATTCCCCGAAGAAACTGCAGCTGTTTGCCTGGGTGGAATGCTAATCCTCAGGAACGCAGAACACTGTGGGGCTTTGTCAGTTTGAGTGATGGCTTACAGTGGCTGAGGAATAAATAGATGTCTAACCCAACTTTGCATGTGGGTAGGCCTATAAAGGCTAAATCCTTTCTGGGGGAAATTTCAATATTCTGAGTGTGTGATTCACTGGCTACAGCTAATAGGAAATAGCAGAATCCACATTGGATTCCTCTCACCATTTTTTATGTGATCTGTACACATTCATACTGAAGATTTACATTTATTTACCTGAAATTACCTTTTCTAGATCTTTGTCCTTTCCAATCAGAATACACACCTTGCTTAAAATCAAGAACTACATCTAAGTTGTTTCAAATTATGTTCCCAGAGAGGGAAATTGTGTGTCCTGTCTAGTGAACCTTCAGGTGTTTATAAATCATACTGGGAGCAGGCACATGTTACCTAGCTGTCTCTCCCAATAGATCAAGCAAATCAAAGGCAAAACTGCATCCCCAGAATCATAAATTACAGCCACCAAGACTCAAGCCCAATGTACTTTCCCTAATTCCTATCATAAGTCCTCTCAGCTCCCCGGTGTACAGCAAAAAGTTAGTGAGATTTGGAGAGTAACTATCTGTCAAAGACCTAAGAACCAAGACCAATGACAAGGCCTTCTCCAAATGTTTACTGGAATAAACACAGTCCCTAGGACTTGAAAACAGACTATTGATCTTGAAAATGCATTTTTCTCCATTTTGATAGGCAGCAAATCCCAGAAGCAATTGGCTCCAATTGACAGGATTAGTAGTTTATCTTCTCAAGTACAGCATTAAAATGGAGTTAAAGACCTGTATGGTGTCCCATGCCTGTAACCCCAGCACTCGGGAGGCTGAGGCAGGAGGATCAGTGCAAGTTCGAGACCAGCCTGGGCTACAAAGTGAGTTCAAGGCCAGCCTGAACTGCATAGCAAGCCTCTGTCTCAAAAACACCAAGAAAAGAAAAAGAAAGAAAGAAAGAGAGAAAGAAAGAAAGAAAAAAAGAAAGAAAAAAGAAAGACCAGCATTCAGAATGTGGCACTACCATTTCATAGTTTTGTAACTTTAGGCAAATTATTTAACCTCCCTAAGCCTCCTTTCCTGAACTGTGAAACAGAGATAACTATACCCACACCTCAAACAAGTCTTCCCGATGCTTCTGACTCACCATCCCTCCGGGCATGGTGGGGTGGCACCACCTCCCTGGGGGGCTGATACCCTGCTGATGCGGTGCAGCCAGCATCAAAGCTTTCACTGGGTCCCAAAATTCTGTGAATTCCTAGCTACAATGGCGCCCTCTCCTGGGCACTTCCTGGCTTTTCCCCCACGGACCAATGTAGTTTCCAGCATCTCCAATTTGACCTCCCAGCCCAAGGCTTGCGAGTCCTTCCTTCCACTAGCAGACAAGAGGATGGAGGAGGAGGACCCAATGTGAGGGCCATTTTAGAAGTGAGGCGTGGACTATCGCCATCAGAGCAGTGACCATCTCCCACACAGCAGAGAGAGACTCAGGCCGAGGACCCGGCTCCTGGAGGAGGCGTGAAAGCTTCTCTGCTTCGGGGCCCTCCTTGAGCATCACTGGACTGGATGCCTGCAGCTTACAGTCAGATGCACGGTCAGGATGGAACCATGGTTCCACCCCTCCAACCTGGGTGGAAATCTGTCCCACCCATTTCCTATGGTTTCCTCTTATGAGGTTTTCTACTGATTCTTTCTAGAGGGAGAAGCAGCCTCAGAGAAGAGGATGCCCAGGGACCTGGAGCAGCCCTTTTGAAAACCCGAGAGAGCACACACACCCACCAGGGTCCACGTGTCACTGCCTCTTCCCCAACCTCCGGCGCTGGGAGCCTGGAGTCCATCTCCCGATGCGTGGTGCATCTCAGAGAACACTGCTAACAACTAGGACTCTCCCGGGATACTGCAAAGGTAGGCGGTTATCCAAAGCTAATCCCTACAGGAGATAAGCCTGGTACTACAACCCAACCTCTTAGCAAAGAACCCAGCACACAAGTAAACTGCTTTGAGCACCAACACAGGAGCAACCACCAAACAATGCAGAAAGAGCCCGAAACTTCTGTCATCCAAGAGGACGTGGACAGCCACACTGCCCAAGAGCAAACATAAGATTCCAGGAAACATGGACTTCTGTGGGGATGCGAAACCCGGAGCCTCGGGACAGGTCAGGAGGCTGCTGGTTTCGCTTTCTATACTGCCTCAGGTGTTTCCATCATTAACTGTCACTCACAACAAAGCTGTCTGACTCTTCACTGGAATAAAATGGGATGCGATTCTTCCTTGTTAAGGAAAAAAAATTTAAAGTATCACCGCAGAGACAGGCCGACAAGTCATGCTGTGTTTGAGGGGAGACTGAATTCCTGGGTCCGGGTGCTTGGGACAAGTGATTCCCATCAGAAAGGAAGCAGGGTGCAGGGTTGCCCCGTGATCTTAACGGTGGGGTCCCAGGGTCAGGCGCAGCGGCTTAAGAGGAAATGACAGGGCGTTTTAAAGAATAAATGCTACGGAACATGCCCAGTCCACCGAGACAGGCTAGTGCTCCAGAAACCAGAAACCCTTGGGCTTCTACTTCTTAACAAAACCACCAGAAGGTGCTTTTAAATTTCAGGAAGCAGCAGCCACGCATGCACAGCCATAGCAACACACACTCGGAAACAAGGCCATTTATCAAACTTTAATAATGCAGCCAGCCACCCGTACATGTCACCGACACGATTTTATTAAAATGACACTTGGGTCTCATAGTTACACTTTTTTTAAAGCTTGCTTTTTTCCTCCGGTATCAAAATAGTTATCTTTTTAAAATATCTGCAAAAGTGTAATAGTCATTTTGTTATATATTAAATACTCTCCTAAAATAGCAACCATTTTTTTCCATCTGTCCTAAAACCTCGTCTTCTCCTAAATATCATCTTTTCCCTTTATTATTTGGTTCTGTTTTGGCATCTTTTATGTTTATGCACAGAAGCTTTCAAAGGAAAAGGTTTCCTTTGTAAGCCCACTGTATAAAAACAAAGAAAGTAAAAAGAGAAGCCAATGATAATATTTGATAGGACCCTGGATTCTTTTAGTACAGGCACTCAGACCGTGACGTTAAAACAAAATAATCCCTTCTTGCCTAGAATTGGTAATGTTGGCCCAACATCGCCCTCTCGTGGCCAGGCTCTATCAAAGCACCCAACCATACAACGGCACCTACAGTATTCAGACATTGTGATTTGGATGTGAAGCATCCAGAGTTCAGTTATAGAGAACAAAAACATTTTTTTCTTTCACAGATCACAAGACAACTGGATTCCTGAAAATTCACCGTGAATACAGACCACCCACAATTACTCAGGGCAAATTCCCATCCCTTCATACAGGACAGAAATGCCCCATCAGAAGCTGGACTCCGGTAAGGTTTTCTTTCTTCCTAAGGAAAGCGTGTGGTATTTCACCCTCTGCAAGGTGCCGTAAGAAGTCTGCTCCCCAGATGTGCTCTTCTGTGAGAAGCCGGCAGCACTGGGGCGTGGGGGCCTGCCGGCCTTGCGAGGGAGGTGGAGAGAGCTGGGTGCAGACCGGACATCCCTCTCCAGGTGGCCGCCCAGGGCCCTGGCCAGGCCCTCTGGCATCCTGAGTGCAATCGACGAGCCTGGAGCCTGCTCATCCACTGCGGGGCTCACCCTGCCACTCTCCAGGGAGCCGGGGGCCCGGTCTGTCTTCCTGTTCTCCTTCTTCCAAAACATGGACCTCAGCAGGGTGAAGGCGCCCTGTGGGAACCTGTCTTTCTCAGAGGCCCTTTCGTCCGCGGCAGCTCTCATCTTGGGCAAGGTACCCTGGCCACTGTCCTGACAGTTTCTAGAAAAACCCGTGGAGGGGGACGGAGGGCTACTCTGGCTTCCCTTCCAGTTTGAGGTCTTCTGGCCCTCTGGGCGGGCCGGCTTCCCGTTCTCGAGGGAGGGCATCACGGTGAGGGGCAGGTCAAACTTTTTGGGAAGCCGGATATCCTGACTGGCACTTTCCTTCCATGTCCTGGTTGTGTTTAGGACATCAGAGTATCCAGTGGCCGGGTGGTGGTTGGGGTAGCCTGAGGGACAGGGCACCCTTGCTGGCCCTTTCCCATTAGCCTGGCCACTGTCTTCGCCACAGAGGGTGCCGTTTGACCTGGGAGATGCTGACTTCTCCTCCCCGCCGGCCGTGCCCGTCAGCAGGGGCACAATGGACTGGCTGGTGGACCGACGAGGTCTGCGTCTGGACTCCAGGTACTCTACCAACTCGACAGAGGCACCAGGTCGCTTCTCCCTGTGCCCAAAGGATAACCGGAGGGGCACAGTCTTGAAGGGCCCCTGCCTGGCTCGGGATGTGGTGGGCGCCTTCATGCTGATGCTTCTGCCGTGGGCACCCCGAACCAAAGGTCTGGACTCCAAGGCCCCTGAAAGAGACACCGAGACCATTAGCTCACCCAAATAACCCTCACCTGCAACAGGACCAACTGTATTGCCAGCCATCTAGCAAACACTCACTGAGCAGTCTGAGATATGAGACACAAGCCGGGCACTGGGGACATCTCTGTCCCTGGAGAGATACACAGGGTTCCAATGGTCTCACTTACCAGCCAGGCTTCACTCACCAAAGCCAAAGAAGGTACAGTTACCCCTTGTTATCCACGGGGGTTTAGGTCTAGAACCTTCCACCTATAGATGTTCCAACCCTATAGCACCTCAAGTGCTTTGTGTAAAACAGTATTTGCATGTGATTTGGATATTTGCGTATCACCCATGTACATCTGTCCATCTAGAGTAGATTAAATCATTTCTAAATTATTTCTAGAAGAACAACAAAGAACAAGGAGTCTGTACATGTTCAGTACAGATGCAGTTTTGTAAAAATGTTTTGGCCAGTAGGTGGTTGACTGTGCCAGGCTAGAACCTGGGGCCACAGAGGGCTGTCTGCACCCACGTGCCTGGCAGCACAGACCACTGGCAAAGCGCACTCTCAGACGGAACTAACCTAAGACTTCACATCATCCATCCTTTTCAGGGGTAGGAGGTGACACTGGGGACTAAACCTAGGGAGCACTGAGCTACACCACCTGTGTTTTTTCTTATTTTGAGACACGGTGTCAGTAAGTTGCCCAAGCAGGTCCCAGACTTTCAGTCTCCCTGCTCTGCCCCCTGAATAGCTAGGATTGTAGGCACATGCCACTCTGCCCAGCTTCATCCATCTTTAGCTATGTCCACCAACCAGAATGCCAAGCAAAAGTCTCTGCTTTTCCAAGTCAAATCAGGTACTTGTATTTTCCAATACAAGTTCTCCCACCATAAGCTAAAAAAAAGAACTATGGTTAATTCCATCAGAGCTGCCCATATGTCTCCATTGTGATTCACAGTATCTATAAATAGCTGGAAGATGTTTTTGATATATAGTGTTAGGACAGAAATAAGAGTCTAAAAAGCAGTATAAACCAAACGGCAAAAATGTACACACATGCGTCTGTATTATGTGTGCCTGTGGAAACATGCAAGCAAGGATGGAGAAACAGACCCCAACACCTAAGGTACTACGGCTTCTCTTTTTAGCTCTTCCCCGTATCTCAGTATTTCTGAAGAGGGTATACATATAACCGATACTATTTTTCCTTAGAAGTTCCCATTCCTCGTCACTGTACCATCGCAGTCTTGATTTGTATGCGCCTGCACTAAGAAAGAAATCTTCAACTGAAACCCAAAGCTACAAGGCACAAGCACAGGCACATGCACTTGGAGAGAAGCTGCCAGTCAACCATCCAAGGCTCTCACCCACAGTGGCTGCTATCCACATGCTCTTTCATCATCAAATAGGAGTGTGATTAGGAAGGGGATTAGACTGTGAAGGTGGATGGATCCCTCAAAATAGGGGGGAAGAAGGAGAAAAAGCAGAGGAGGAGGAGGAAGAGGAGGAGAAGAGAAAGAGGAAGAGGAGGAAAAAGAGGAGGAGGAGGAAGAGAAGGAAGAAGAGGAGGAGGGAGAGGAGAGGAGGAGGAAGAGGAGGAAGAGGAAGAGGAAGAAGCAACATCATAGCTCTTTCTTCCGGTAGATACAACAAGAAGCTGCCTGCAGCTAGAGGACCCCGCCCCGACCCTGACCACACTGGCACCTGATCTTAGACATCCAGAACCGTGAGGCACAAATTCCTGCTGCTGACAAGCTACCCAGTCCACGGCAGTCCAAAAGGGCTGCGACGGAGAGTAACTCTGAGAATGCGTAAGGACCACTAACACTAAAGCCCCCCCACGGGTAGCACAGCCATCTCCACGCACCACATGGAGGGGACCTGAGACTTTCAGCTGCACGGTGAGAGCCCAGGGAAACCAGGGGGCCACAGTGCATGCTGGGAGAGGAGGTATCCCGCACAACAGCCAAGCACCCTGGAAAGCAGTGACTCAGGAGGAAGGTGGGGATCACTTCTTCCTGGCCACATGTTGGGAGCCACTGAAAGTGGAAATTGAGCGTGTGTGCAGGGCTGCTGCATGGCTGGGGCAAGACAGATAATGGCTGAGGGCACCTGGCTCCAACTCCAATTAAGGAGATAAACACTGTAGCCACAGGCTGTAGTGAAATGCAACATGGAGATCTCCTGAGGTCTCCTCCTTAAGGCAGTTTGTTACTTGCAAAGTCCTTGAAGCACTCCCAAGATCTGTTCAGTTTCCAGTGTTTGAAAAAAATAATAAATCCGGGCTGCCCAGAGGCATCCTCTGTCTTAGCCGCCAGAGTCTCAACTCTGTAGAAGGGTTTTTCCTCTTGGAGCCCTGAAATCAGACCACTTAGCCCATTTATTGAAGCCTTCGCCGTATACTCGTTTGGAAGATTGGGGATCTAGGCCAGGTCCCTGATAACAGGCACCCAGAACAGGGAAATGAAATCCTTGGAATGGGAATGTTAGCCTGAACCAGTAAGTCCACCTAGAGTGGCAAGTTTGGATATGGAGAGGTCCCCACTGTATGAAAAACCTCGCCAGGAACTCGGGGAGAACAGAGGAACAAGGGTGAGCCTTCCCGCTGTGAACAAGCCCTTTTATTCAAGAGTAAAAATAGGGTTGGGCATACAGCTCGGCGGCACAAGTGTCTGCCTGGCAGGCACAAGGTCCTGAGTTCAGTTATTAGAAACAACAAAAACACTCAGCTGAGGAGCAAAGGTACTCATGGCCGCTCCAAGACCTGCTTAAACGCTCAGGAGATTCTGTGCCCAAGAAAGACCTAGCAAAAATGTTAAAAGAGGTAGGTAACCAAACACAATCCATGGTTTCCTCAGACAGGCATTATAGATACTGATAATTGGGAACGAGTTGGAAAAAATCTTAAAAAGGCACACAGGGCAAGAAAAATAATTTCCCCTGAGACATTTTCAGCCTAGAATCTGATTCCTTCAGTTTTGATTAAGAAGTGTCTTGATGATTGTGGGCTTGTTAGGGTGGCCACAAGGAAACTGGCTTGGAGCAGTGTTTTGCAATCAAGTTCCAAGCAGGGGAGTGAACCAAACAGCTCCACTGAGTCTGGAGCTCGGCCAGACAAGGGAGGTAAAGACACAATGTTGCTTGTCTCACCTGCAAAGAGAAATCAAGGTTACAGTTGAATTGGCTCAAAACACAGTTCAAATCTCCCCCGTTTCTTGCTTTGCAATTGGTTATTCTTCCCTTGACAAAAATTGGAAAATCTGTAAGTAAAGAAAGGGGACACCTAAGGGTTTTATATCCTCAGATTAAGCAGGACCATCCTGAGATAAAATTGATAATTAAAGAAAAAGCCCTTAAAGGGCTTTTAGACACAGGGACAAATGCTTCTGTTACTGTCCAAAGCCACTGGCCTCTGCATGTGACACCTACAGATTTACAGGTTTCACACCCTAGTAAAAGTGCTAAACTGATTTAACCTGCAGGGTGCAAGGGGTGCCTCTGCTGCCATATGCAGGTGATTTGCTTTTGAGTTACCAGTTTACTACGGATTTAGAACAGCAGCCCCAGGGTGTGGAGGAGACTTCCTTCAGTGGGCGAGAGAGACATCCCAAGGCTTGATTTCTAGCCATCAGCATCTAGAGCCATTCCAGACTTTTGCCTTTAAAAGAACATATAAATGGTGGAAGAGCACAGAGAACCTTCCCTAGGCCTGGCCTGGCCTGGCCCGGCAAGGCGGGACCTACACTGCAGAGTTTGCAGCGGTGTGCTGAGGAGCCAATTCCTCCAGGGTCTGCAGACCTCTCAATGACAGGCCCGCCACCAGCAATGCTGTGACACAGTCCTGCAGGAAAGGCAAGACACAGTTCGGAGAGGTGGGACACAGCGCTGGCCCGCCAGAGCCATCCTGATTTTTCCCATCACCTGCACACATGTTTGATGCATCCAAAGTTTACACTGCACGGTGCTGGGATCCCCAACAACAGCAGAGCCTCCAGGGCAGAGCAGGAGCACACCTGCATGTCCCCACAGCAAGAGCGCACCCAAGGAGCCTAAATACAAACGCAGAAGGATTTTTTTTTCCCCCTCTATACCTTACCACAAAAATTCTTTACAATCTTTAGGTCTTAAAATAGTTAAACACACAATTTAAATTTCAAAAAACAAAAGGGAGTGTTCACCTCATAATAGATTTCACTTGGCAGTATATATTACCTAAAATTTTTAAATTCTAATAAAGATGTACTATGGTAGTTGAAAGATAACACAATCACATGAAAGCTAAAACGAGTCAGTTGGAAAGATCTTCACACTAGACAATAAAAGCACCCAGTGCAGGGCTACTGTGGGGGCAAGGGTGTGCTTATGTCTTTCCGGGAAATGCTAACTGGCCCATCTGGGTGCCCGAGCAGGCTGTCCGGCTGTGTCATGGATCTGAACCCCTCCCCAGAAGCTGACACCCAGTCCTGTGACAGTGATGCCTCAGAAACTATAGAACGGACAGGAAAGGATGAAACTAAAACCAACCTCAGTGGACCCAGGATGCCTGGGAGACGGTAACCAAAAACATATAAAGATAACCCAACTGAAAGTTTAAGAAAGGGACATACAAGTTACTAGAATTTTTAATATACAAAACTATACGTTAATTATAGGTAAGACTTTGTCTTTACTAAATCTTTTTATACGACATCTCTGCTAATTCACCTATAACAAATCTGACGAGTCAATTTATAGTTATACATTTTAAAAACATTATTATAATTCAGTTTGGCTAAAAATATACTTGAGTGCACTCTGATTTGTAAGATGTTTGTCAGTCTGTCTGTTGTCTGTCTGTCCAGTTGGCTTGTATGCAGTTGTTGGGAGTCAAATGAGCTAGTGATCATTGACACGTGTGGCACCAACAGCATGCCCATATAGGAGTGCCCAAGTGGTGCTTGAGAATGCCCTGAGGGCTTGGGGTGCTGCAGGTGAACAGGTGTTCCAGCCCCAAGAACTTGG